ATTCTGTTTTGATAATCTCTACTACTGAATAGTCTTTCACTTACTGTTGGACTGTGTTTTGCTCTTTACGCCAACCTTGGTGTTTCAGTGGTTCAACAATAACTCAATATCGGTTCAAGTTGAGGAAACAAGGAAAAGGATTAGAAAAGGAATGAAAGAGATAAATAAAATAACCTTACATCCAAGATGAAATCCCATTTAATCTTTGGTCAGAAAAAGTAAACTAAAGAAACGAAATAATGAATAGGTTTGTTTTCATCTTCTAATCTCTGTATTTGTACCAATTTTGTTGAGCTAATACAATAACCTCTGAGAATTGCGATACTTTTATTTAGGTAAATAATTTCTGATTGAAAAGTTCCAAGTCAATCAAACTCCCAATTCACCATCAAAGGGAACATTTTAAATGAAGTCTTTTGCAAACTTTTTGTTGGAGTTTTGGCAAAAACTATTCGAGTTGAGGAGAGAAAAAATTGCTCACGGAAAATGAAATTGAATGGAAAAAAGATGCTTTTTTCCAAGACAAAAACTCGACTAATGATAGGTTAAATTCCGATTCAGTTTTTTCTTTCTTGCTGCTGCTTGCTTTCGTGTTTATTGTTGCTCAACAATTTTCTGTCAGTTGGACTCGAAACTCTGTTGACGTTGAAATCTCTTCTTCCAAGCTTACACTTTCTGCTGAAATCTCATTTTATGTTTCGCTTTTGCATCAACAGGAAATATAATCTTATCTTGTTGAAGATGGATATTATTAGCTATTATATCAAGAGCTAATATTTGGACAAGAGAAATGTTTTTGTCAACAAAATGATAATAATGTTAAACAAGATGATGAAGATGATGAGGTTGGATAAACCGTGAACCAGTGTAAAGACAAAGCACAAGGCAAACCCTGGACAGGCTAGCTACTGCAACTGATGAGAGTAAGCATCAAGAGATGAAAAAATATATTTATTTCTGGTCAACATTTAGATATCAAAACGAGCATAATCATTTCAAGTGATACTTAATTTTTACTTTACCATTATATTTTGTCAACATCTTTATCAACCCATTTATCCAATGCATTCATACAAGTGTCTTATGGTGAAACAGTTTACACTCCAACATCAATCTCAAAACTCTCACCTCATAATTGCAAATCAGCAACAAAATTGAAATCATTTTCCTTTTGATCTTTTCGAGCATAAATGATGCAAAAAATAACATTTCGCTCGAAAATAACCACGAAAAAGTTGGTTAGAAGTTCTAAAAAAACTAAAGTTCGAACTTTTGTTCTTAAAAAAGTCCAAAAAGAGAAAAATTTTCAGCTGAAATCTTGAACGAAATCAAACAAAGAAATCTATGAACAGAAATGTCTTGAATTCGGAAAAGTTCAAACCAAAAGTTTTTGTGAAAGTTCAAATTCCGTTTATGGATTTGGTTGAATGCATTGGTAAATGAATCTGGAAATTTGTTGAATGTTTGTTTGATTCCAAGACTGGATGATTAGTTAATCTCTCGAGTTTCATCGCATTTGAATGAGTTTCCAGTTTCATGTAAACAGCTTTTCGAACTGCATTTCAACTCTTTGATTGCAATAAACTATGAACCCAACCAGAATTTAGTTGAAAGTTTTATCGATTCTCTTTTGTAAAAACATTTTAAATCTCAAATTCAGAAATAATAATTGATTAATTCAGTGAATATAAAATTTTGTGAAAAAAGTTGCAAAAATTAAATAAAGGCGCAAAAACTTGAATAAGCACAAATCTTATCCTTTTCACAACTTTCAGTTTATATATTAGTATGCAAATTTTTACATGAAATTATTTTTTCTCTTTTCAAATAATACTTTTTTCCTTCCATGAAAAGATTGAATCTCTCTTTTACAAAACATTTTCAACACTTTATTCCAATTTTTTTTCTCAACTCCTTCCTTCTCTTAAACAAATTGCGACTCAAGCTTGGAGTGAATGTTGCTTTATCTTACAGCTTCTTTTTTAATTATCATTATTATTATCACTCAGTTTTATTATTAATAGAATGGTTATTTATGATTAAATTAATGCAAAAAGAAAATGAAAGGCTTAGAATTTGCTTCTATTCACAGTTAGTAATGATTATCTATTTTATGGAAATTCCGTACAAGAATGGATTCTAAACATGATAAACATTGAACCATTCATGATGGAGTAACACCAAATTTTGCATCATTACCAATGAATATAAATGAAGAGATTTGCCTGATAACTTAAGTTTATCATGCTCATCATTTGTCGATCACTGGAAACGAGGAAAAATGGTGAAAACAGAAAAAAAGGAAAAAAACTTTCCATCCCATTGTATTGACTGTACTTTTCTTTGCCAATTGCATCATTTGGTTGGAGTGAAAAAAAGAAAATTTCAATTCAAATGAACTTTTTTTCCATTTTCTTTGTTTGAAAGATTCTCATGCTTTTTTACCTTTCACTTTTCATCATGAGCTTTGTTTACAAATGAATCAAAGCAAGAAACGAGAGAAAAAATCATCTTTAACATGAAATCAAATTCAGTGGACCTTAAAGTTGAAATGATGAACCAAAAATGAAAAGTTGAAAGAAGCAAGAAAAAAAGATGAAAAAATGCAAAACTAAATCATGTATTTTCATGTAATAATCGGTTAATATTAAAATGCTATCAATGTTTATATAAGTTAAATGTTCAACTTTACTTTATTGGGTTGCATTGAATGTAAAAAATGGTTAAATTATAACAAAAACTCCATATTTATATTGATATTCATTGGTTTTTTTACTCATTTCCTTTTCCCTTGTTCTTTTTCTTCATCATTTTGCATTTTACTTTTTTCTCACCTTTTAATATTAGTTTAGATTGAGTATTAAAAAGATATAAGCTATTATTTGGAAAAGTGAAATTGTTATCTGAAGGAAATGCAGAAAGAATATTCTTAGTTTCAAGTTTTTTTGTTTCATTTCTCGAGTAATTTTTTTGCTCTTTAACCTTTTTCAATTTTCATTTTCAGTGTTGCTCAACTTTTTACTTTTTTGATTCTTCACTTTTTTTCTGAGCTATGCTCAAGTCAAGTTTATATCCATTGGAGCGGCAACTATTTATGCATGCGAATTAATTTGTTCATGTTTCATCTATTTAATCGACATTATATTTCATTTTATAAGGTCATAAAGCATCGAGAATTCGTTTTCTTCAGAACTCTCTTCTAAACAGAAAAATCTTTTTTCATAAATGTTTACCAAAAATGCATAGTTCAATATTACATGTTACGCCTCCGTGGCAAAGAAATTTGAGGCATCTTTGATTTAAGTACTTATTCTTGTAATATCTCGTTACTCGAGTCAAAGTATTATTGAGTGTCAGTGCAGTTTCAGAATAAGTTGCAAGACTTTAATTGCGCCTAATATTAACTTGGAGCAGACAGAATTAATTTTGACTCCATGAGCTTGAATCGCTAATCGTGTGTCAAAGGGATGAGTTTTGGCAAAATAACAGCGATTAAATATAAAAAGATTACAAATTAAACATTTGCAGTTGAGTTTTGTTCCTAAAAGTAAGGATTTGCATTCAACACAGAATATTCAATCAATGAAATGCATGTTAAAAATGTTTTTTTTTCTTCTATTTGCAAGACTTTTATTCTAATATGGAACCTTTATTCATTATTATTAAAATGTGAGCATACCTAGTAATCATGTTAACATAATTACCCTGTTGAATCAAAAAGCTATGCTAATCATGATAGAGTAATATCAAAATATATCTCTATTATAAAACAAGATAATAAATGAAAAGAGATAAATGTTGATACAAATTATCAAAGGGAATTGGTTCACATTAATATCATCTAGTCTTAAGATGGAGAGAAGATTAAGTCAGCAAAAGACACGCATCATGATCAAAGCATTGTATCACATTCAATCATTCATCTGTTGAATTAATGATTAAATCAACTTTTCAGCCAGAATCAATGATGCATCAGCCATGACAATACGCTAGAGTCAATCATCTCTAAAGAAAGTTCAACAATTATTTAAAGCAAAGGCGCAAATGCCAAATGCATCTTCGGCGAAACTCAATGAGCAAAAGCGCTTCCGAATACAAATTATGTAAAGCGTTTATCGAGTATTAAACATTCATAAAAAGCTATAAAATAGTCTCGATAAATAACTTTTGATTCTCTATTGCAATATCAACTGAAGTCTTTTTCCTCTTCAATATGAATAAACATTGAAATATCATTAACAATAAATCAATTTGCGGTTCTAATGAAATCTCAGAGTAAAGACATTTTCCTTGTTTTTATATGATAATAAAAAATTGTTGATAGCGCATTACATTTGAATCTCAAACAGACCAAACCAAATTGATCTAAATATCTCAAGAGAATAATTTCCTGATAACCTTTTGCATGGAACTTTTTTTTCATCTCTCTTCGAATCAATTTGCAGCTATTCATTGTCAAGCTTTTTGCACAAACAAACCAAAACTGATTGCAATTTGGCACTTTTCAAGTCGAATTTTCAAAATCAAAAGAGATGAAATGACTTGGAAAAAATAATAAACTAAACGAAAAAAATAAGATAAGATAAGCGAAAAAAGTATAAAGTTCATGAGATTTTTGTTTTTAGATAATTTACAGGTCTTGTTGCATCATGAACAGAGTTTAATCTTGAATTATCATTTTTTGCATAAAGTTGTTACTTTTTTTAGCCATCTCATCAGATGCACATCAAGATCTTGACAAAGAGTCCAAAAATGATTAGGCATTGATTAAATTTTGATTACACACTACACAAGCTTGTTTTCGAGCTCGATTTTTTTCATGTTATCTCGTCAATACAATTATCACGTTGCAGTGATGCTGCTTATCCGTTCACTGATAACCTTGCCAGATACCTTCTGTTGCAATCAAGTTTGACTAATTTGCTTTTCTCTTTTGCCTTAACTTTTTTCCACTTTTCTCTTGTTTCATCTGCACCACGTTTACCTATTCTAATTTCCAGTTCCTCCTCGTATATTAACGGCGGAAACAAGTGTCGATGTGATGAGACGTGAGAACAGTAATGCAACGTTAACCTGTCGAGCTCGAGGCTACCCATTGCCAAGGATAACTTGGCGTCGTGAGGATGGTAAACCCATCGAGTATGGCAACTGGCAGGAGAAAAAAGATCAGGGAATCCAACCACGTAAGTTGATTTTCCTCATTCTTTTCGTTTCTTTTTTTTCTCCTTTTCTCATTCCACTTTTCCTACTCTTTACCATCACACCTTTTTTACCTGTTTTTTCTTCTTTTCTTCATGTATCTTTTTTTCATCCTTTTTTCATCGTTTCTTCACCTTTTCCTTTCTTCTATCGCCAACTTTTATTTTTTGCTCAACATTTTTTTCTTCTATCCTGACATTTTATCATTTCAGTTTCTTATTCATTGTTGAAACGTTCTTGCCTTTTGCAATCCATCATCAAATGAAACCTGAGAAATGATAAACTGCATTCTATTTCATGTATTATCTTACTCTTAGCCTACTTCAATTGCAAGCCAGACTCAACTTGAATCAACTTCGAGCTTCAATTTTACTCATTTCAAGATTTTTCTCTTCTCATTCAACTTATTAATTCTCAGGTGCGTCAGCATAACATTTCTTAGAACATGTAAACATTCTTTCCAGTTGAATATTTTCCACGAGAAATTTACTAATTTGTTTTATTCATTAGCAAATTTGTGAATTACAAATTTTTTTCAACCTTATTCCCAAAATGACTTTGAACCCAATGTTGATCTCAACAATATTCATAGTCATCAACTCAAAAAGCCTATTATCACTTTAAGAATGCTTTGAATGTTAAACGGAAAATTCAGTTGAATAAGGATTTAGTCGCATGCATATTCAATCCTGTGTTAATACCTGTTGACAATCAAGAATAAGATTTACTCTAATCTCGCAACCCAAAAATGTAATTCCGTCACATTTAACGCACGAAGGAAAAACTAATTGCATTCAAAAAAATGATGATAAACATGAAATTTAAATTTCTCTCAACCAACTATTAAAAAAATGATTAAATTTGACTCAGTTAATTGAATAGAGTTTCAAATTTTTGAAAAGTTTCGAAATGAAATATTCCAAAATTCAATTTCTTCACTTTGAGTAGGCTGTTAGTAAACCTTTAATTCTCAATTAATCGGACTCAATAAACCTCGAACAATCAACAAAATTGTTCAAACCAATGAAACGAATCGAATTGCAAGAGTATTGTCTTTCAGTTGATTAAACTCGAAACTTCGAATCCATAAAATTCAATTGACTTTTACACTTTTGCGGTTGCATTTTTGTCGAAATACAATTTTTCATTCCAACAGTTTTTGTCCAATTAATCGATTTCATGTAAATCATGATTGGAAGAAAATCGAAGGTTTTGCAGTTTTCTTATCATAAATAACTGAACAATTGACGAGTCACATGCTTGTCAGGTTTTCTTTCCAAGTTAACGTTTTCCCCAAAATTACTTTTCTGGTTCCATCAATAAAGTACTCGTTATCTTTACCATCGTTAACCCAAGTTGGCTCAAGTAAAAATAACAAATTTCAAGTCGATGAAACTCTTGGTACGGAAAAGTGATAAAAATAATGATAATAATAAAACTTTTAAAAGTCAATTGAGGTTGACTTAAAGAAGTATCTGTTGGATGAAAATGTTTTAACAGTTTATCTCTGATCCTGTAAAGTTTTTTGCTGTTGAATGGGATTGCCTTAAGTGTTTTACCGAGCATCCACATCATTTGTGAGATGAACTTTTTTTTTCCTCCATGAGTACAAGAAAAAAAGTTTAGCCTTTTGTTGAGCATTTTTCCGCTCTTCATTTCCCTATCACTTTGTGAACAAAAAAGTAATGGAAAAGTGTATAACCTTTTTTAATGTTGACAGGCTCATTTTGTTTCAAATTTGCACTTCTCATCAGATTCAACAACTTATTCTTTCATCACTTTTTAAATTTTATTCATTGAAAAACAGACGAGAAGAAAATATCGTTAACATTTTCATCATTATCTGACAATCTTGGAATTCATTCTTCAGCGAAAAAACATCAAAACTTGAACTGTAGACAGAATGTGTTTTGAAATTTATCGTCTCATTTTACGAAACTTAACCTTTATTTACTTGGATTTTGCAACTTTTCTTGGTTCATTTCATTTCGAATTTTTCGCAATTTCTTTTCATGGGCCAGTCTAAGAATCCAAGAATGGTTTAATAGCAATTTTCATGATTTTCATCATTCAGTATTTACGATAATTAATAACCATTATAGTCAATTTACTTTGGCTAATTGAAAAGTCTATCATCTTGTAAAAATAATATCGTCAAGAGATTTCACGGTTATCTGAAGAAATTAATCTTTTCTCGTTAGCAAAACTTGTTTCATTTTCAGGAATATGCAATGCATCATGAGGTACTTGAGGTGGTTACTGAAAATGCCTGACCATTAATATTATGGAATGAGTAGAAATGGAATTAGATTTTTAACAAGTTGAAAGAAAACATTGTATTTTCCTTATCAACATATTTTCCTCCAGATGAATGAAGGAAACAATTCGTCATGAAAATGTTTACACGCTTACAAAAGCTGAAAATGCCTGAAACTATTTTCATCTGGATAAGTAATTCCAACAACAAGCTAAATAGGGAATCATCATCACTGTAAAGTATTTATCACTTCCAGTTATACTCTTGCCATTCAAGTTAACCTTGTAAATGTTTTCAATAAAAACAAGTCCAAATGAACGTAAAAGTCAGAATGGATGGTATTGGCCATTTGAAAGAAAAGAGTCAATCAGTAGTTCCATGTGGGAAGCAAAATAAAACAATAACAATTTCGATATCAGGGAGTTTATTTTTTTCCACTTTTCTTCTTTTGTAATGATGAAAATTAACCAATTACAATTGTTTGGTCAGCAATTAAGAAAACAGAGAAAATAAGGAATGAAAAAAAGGAAAAGATGAGGAAGAAAAATATCACCAATAAAAGAGTATTTGGAAGAAAAAGAAGAAGAAAAAAGTAAAAGAAGAAAAGCGAATCAAAGTGGCTTAAGGTGATTATGAGTGTAATGGTTTCTTATGAAAATATAACCATGTAAAGTAAGACTCTTCAAGACCACTAAAAGTTCTGAGAGCAAGATTGTGAGAGAAGAGAAGCAAAAGGACAATTAGTTTTTTTGGTGTTTTTGCCTTTACTCTCTTGTCTCGATTGTTGTTTTGGGTCAATTTCGAGTTTAACTTGTCTTCTTAATGCTTCATCACCGTCATCATTGCCAACCATCTTTTACCTCTTTTCATTTCTTTTTATTTCCTTTTTTTCTCTTCCTTCATCTTTGCCTTTTCCTTGCTCACCAGCAAATATTACCTCTTTAGTTCATCACCTCTTCAACCAGAATCACCCTTGAGCTATTGTTAACTGGACAAGTTGAATTTGTCCCAATAGAATCAAAAGGGCGAGATGAAAGAAAACTGAGATTTCCGTATTTTCTTCATCAATTTCCGTTCCAAAAAAAAGAAAGTCCAACCTTTCATCTCAAGCACAGTGATTAAGTTATTCACAAGAGTCTAACGAGTCGAGGATGAATAACTAAACAATTTTCAGCGAAATGAGACATTTCACAGAAATCAATTTCTTGGCTTCAGATAGTTACAGATTATTCTTCTGATTTTTTGATGGAAATATTTCTTTGCATTTCGCATAAAATTGTCATTAATTGCTACAATGTAATTTCAACTGAGAGTAAGACACTCATGAAAAGTTCGTACAAGTTGCGTGACATTTTATTGTCTAGAAGAGTTTACTTCTGATGATGATAACGATGATGAAAACTTGTGAGTTTTATGGATTTTTTATTTACTACAAAAATGCCAATTGAATAATGTCGATTCAATTGTAATTAAAGGTTACATGGCATTTCACAGGGAAACCCAAAGCTTCATTTTATTGTTTCTATTATTGCCCTGAATTCAAGTCTTTTTTTATTCTCGTTTCCTTTTTGACCATCGCTTTCAACCTATTTAATCTTGGTTTAACCTTAAGCTAATTTACCTTTAAATGGAATCACCAAAGACAATCAAAGCTTCATTCCAGTTGCTTGTTCATCTTCTTTTGTCTTCTCGTTGGCCTTTTTTGTTCTTTACTCTTTTTTCCCTTCTTTTTACCCTATCAATTTCGAACCTTATTTATCTCGATGCTTTTTTTATACAATCAACGTTTACTTGATATTTATACTTATTTCCTTTCCAACTTTCATTACTTTTTATCGTTACAGACAAAACCTATAAGAAGAAACTCTTTATTATTCGACTTTTATTCTCATTTACTAATTTATTTTTTGACATTTTTTCACTTTCTTTTCTCATTTACTTGCAACTTTTACTTTTTTCATTCTCATTCTCATTCTCATCATCAGCCTTTCATCATTTCATCATTTCAAGTCATGCTTTTTTAGTTATACTTGATTAGCACCTAATTTGGTGTAAATTAAGGTTCAACTTAATCAGTGTGATAACAAGATTAATCATGCTCAACTTGAAATAAATCTTTGTCAACTTTGTAGCCTCGTTGTTCTGTATTTATATTCATTTAAATTAACTTTGATGCAGAAAATCGTTTTTTTGATTGTCAACTATTTTCGTCTCCAATTACTCAATGCATCTGGCTAAATCCCTTTAATCTGTGTCGTTTGAGGATAAATAAACTTTTCTTCAGTATCAAGCAATAGTCTAATTTCATTTCATTAGAAAAGCTTTTGTCAAATGAAGGATTAAAATCATTTTTATTCACGATATTAGATAATAGAGGGAAACGATTGATTAAAATGACTGAATTGGAAAGATTCTTACATAAAATTTCGCGAAATTATAATTTCTGGATGAAACTAAGCTTACTTTTTATGTTAGCCCAATCAAACAGATTTTTTTGTGTAGTTCAAGATCTACTACTGACATATACACTGCAGCGTAAAAGTTTGGAACCGATATTCATTTTGATGTAGGGACTAAACTATTGATCATAATTGGATGAACTTTTACAAGATCGTAGGTCTCAGTGATCAATATCAACGTTTGCTCTATATGCTTACACTCATTATGGCACAGGATTTTTCGGTACATTGCAGAGTATTGCAAGGTTAGATTTTTGTTTTCGACTAT